TGGGAGTAGTGGGCGGCGGGGCCAACTCTTTTGGTTACGGTGAGGATCGCAGTCACGGTGAGTCCAGCCCGTGACCGTGAGTCATGGGCCATCTTTTTGGCTCCTCAAGATGGAAAAGGTTCTAGAAATCTCTGACCTTCGATTGCGAATTTTTAAGAAAATAGGAATCCTTAGAGGATCAAGTTTGTCTAAAATATAGGATTTTCCATAAAAAATGACGAAAATATAGGATTTATTATACATTGTTTCTACTCAATTTCTCTGGTTTTATTAACTTCTTCACTTGATATCTTTCTATTAGGACTGTCATTTTTCACTTACTATTACTAGTAAATGGTACGTGGTGAAAGCTACCATGCAAGAATAAATAATAGATAATTAAGATATTCATTTATTGGTGGTATATTGATAATTTTTTTACGATTACAATACTTACCACTTACCTGATAAGTGGAAGTGGTGGCAAATGGTAAGTGTGACACTCATACTTTCTAACTAAACAAGCAAGAGCAGGGGGCCTCTCCATCAGGATTCTTATCTAATTCATTTCTACTGAAATGATTAGTTGAATCAAATATCGCTAGGAACTTCAATTAAAGTTTTAGAACCTTTTTCACTAATCAATGAATAATGAATAAAAAAGAAGACCATAACCTGTGACACGATAAAATGAAAAAAACCCAAATATTATTTGTCATGATTAATAGAGCAGGAATCTTTTCTTTACAGTTCGACCCAATTAGAAGCTGAAGTTACATCCATGTGAAACCTTTAGCAACTTCTCAATTTTGGCATTTTTCAGAAGAACCGAAGACTGCAATGTTAAGATAGTTTCTCAGTTATTTAATATACCATTCGGTACAGCATTAAATTCAGAGTAAAGTCGTATGAAAGTCATGAATGATAAATCAACATTTCTTTAAAAAAAGACACATATTCATGCAAGGATCATATTTATTCTACTACGAAATCTCTTGGACCTTTTGCTCTCTTGAATCTGATTCAGATCCAACGCCATTTTTCTAGAAACATCAGCAATTAATAAGTGCTACAATATTACAAACATAATTGGATGAAAAACTCTGTCTTCATTTCATCATAAAGAACACTGTCCACAAAATTTAGAAAGAATACTAAACCACGAAAATTCTCACTCGGCTTTGCCCAATAAAGACCTAATTTGCTTGTGAGTGTGAGATGTGGGTGCGGTCCAGAGCAAGTCTAAGATCCGCCTCGACTCCCATACCGTACGCCCACACCCACCCTTTGTTTATTTTAAGCACATATCTCACCCTATTATACAACAACTCATTAAGATATGTCAGTGAAGTCAGTGTGCCTGATTCACCAGTGACGCCGAGGATGTTAGTGCATCAGTGATCAGTGATGCACTGATCATCGGTGTTCCAGTGACGTCGGTGTCAGTTTGTTCAATATTTCAGTGATCAGTGACACTGAGCCTATCGGTGTACACTGAGCGTCTCTGTCAGTGACAAAAGTGTCGGTTTTTTCGGTGTTGTCACTGACACCACCCATTCCCTATGTCATAGTCATCGATAAGAATAGCTTTCACTAAATCTATGAAAACATCGTAAGGTTCGAAATCGTTTTTAGAAACATTGTGGAAATTATTCACCAGATGTAGCGATTTTTATCTTGAAGACCGTTTTCGCTCTGTATGTAAACATACTGTCACGTGTAAAGATATCATGGGTCTATTATAGAAATAAGGTAGGATATACACAACGAAGGAAAAGACGAATGTCTTCGTTGAAATTGAACCACATGCCTTTTGCTCTGAGAACAGATGTTCTAAACTGTTTGGTTAAAAAGACCATTAGTTTTCTATTTTGTAATCATTATATAACAACATGTACTCGTAGATATAACTATTGCTACCTTAATATGCATAAAATGGAAGCTATCGATCGATACCAAAATTCATATTCGCGTGGATATCCAAAAAAAAATAATTCAACCACTAAATCGTGCTTATCTCTGTATCTCTGTATTCTGGTTGTATTCAATTGTTGTTATATCAACAATTGTTTAAGTTCATCTGGCTTCAATCTCTATTATACGGATCGTTCATTAAATAATCTTGATCACGATTGCTTATATTACTTTGTTCCTGAAGATGGTTTGAACTATCAGTTCATCCAATATTGTATTCGATTTAACTTGAGCGATCAAGTACCGATCATCACCAACAACTCTCCTCCTTCCTTTACACTCAATTATCTCCACCAACAGAACGTGACTCCTCATCAGTTGTTGACATGGTCAGTGCCCATAGATATCATGGAACGCTATCAAATGTATCTCGATAATATTTCATCAACGGATACGTTCTTATTTTACAACTGCACATATCCTTGGTTTGGCTCATTTTGTGAGTATCGTTTCGATCAACCACAATCATCTTTTGCAGAACAAGTTGAAAAGAGTATCATCATAATGAAGGATTGCGAACCGGATTTTGAAAATTTACCGTGTTATACACATCTACAATGTGATCGAGCAGGCGATCATGGTCAAACACCTAGTGTATGTCTCGATTGGCGTGAAATATGCGACGGAAAAATGGATTGTCTCGACGGTGGTCATGACGAAGAATATTGTTGGCAGTTGGAAATAAATGAGTGTGATCGTGAAACTGAGTTCCGGTGTCATAATGGATTGTGCATTCCAATAGCTTTCCTACATGATGACTTGAAAAATGCTGATTGCCTAGATCGAACTGACGAACCTCATGCCATTGATATTATCAATAAACCTGCCGGAGCTTACGAATTTCTAAAGAAATGCTCAAGTAACCTTAGCTTTCGATGTGAAGAACACATGTGTCGACCATTTCAGGAAATCGAGTTCTTGTTATCACAAGGTGATGGTCTTTGCGGTAGTCCGTTTTTTGCGGCCGACAAGCGGTTGTTGTCTATAAAAAGAGCACTCATCTCAACAGCGAATCTTTCAGATAGTTGTCGTGTTGCATTTCAGTGCCTGACAATGTTTACAGCAGCAGATTATAACTCTGATCTATATTGCGATTACGATAATAGAGAGCTCTATGCACGGATTGTCAAACAAGATTGCCCATCATTAATAAAGTTTCCACCATTTTTATTCGGTCATGTTCGCTTGATATATACGAATGATCAACTTGAAGTAAGTGAAACAGTCAAGTATATTACTGTAATATATCTTCATTTGACGGCACAAGCACTAGATCATTCTATAGTACAATTGTTATCGGTAACGGCGATCGGCCGGTAGAATGAGAATTGAGAAGGCATTCCTAGGATATAAAGTAGTTCAATAGTTATTGTATGTTGATTTCCATTTTCTTTCATTATTAATCAGTTCACCATATGCTTGAGGACAATAGAAAATAGAATAAAACTCACTCATGTCGATATAAGTGTAAATGAGATTGAGACTATTTTCTTTACCTAGACACTCATCTAAGATAGTCTTTCTTTTTGTTTTAAAGAAATTGGAGAGCGGGTATCATGATAGCTACCAGGCTCTTCCTCCTGACTATGTATGTTACAATAGAGAACTCTGTGGGCACAATATGTTTCCTTTTGCGCTGCATCTGCCTATCGATTTATTTGAAGATAATAGTACCTGCCAACCGTTTGCTGAATTTGGAAGATCAGAATTTTGGAACAGTATATGGCAACTCGCTATCAATAGACTGACCGCTCTGTTTCATAAATGTACAAGGTACTATCAATGGCCATTGATATTAAATCATTCCAACTTATATGCTTGTACTAACTCGTCTAAAGTGATATCTAAACACCGCCTTAGAGACAAGATTCAAGATTGCTTTTATGGAGACGACGAAACATATATGGAAAGCTGTTCTCTTAATACGACAAACCGTCGTTTCAAATGTAATATAGGCAACGATGTCGTTTGTCTCGCTCATGTTCGCCTATTTGATGACTCCCCCGATTGCGATGATAAATCAGATGAACTGACTCCAGATAAGTATGAAATCAAAACCAAAATATCATTCCAGACGATGTGCGATGGATTTACAGAACTACTTCCTTTTATGATAGATGGGCGTTACGAAACGGATGAGACTGAATGCAATCAGTTTCAATGCAACAATACCTATACAAGATGTGACGGTTATTGGAATTGTTTAGATGGTGCTGATGAAGTGAATTGTGAGTGGCCACCAATATGTCCTCCACTCCATCATATGTGTGTGTCGATAGTGACCAATAATTTAACGTGTTTATCAATTAGCCGGTTCAACGATGGTAATCCTGATTGCTTTGGTTATGCAGACGAACGGGAATATTGTACTCTATTTGGAGAAATCTTTCGTTATCGATGTTGGAATAGCACCACATGTACTGGACTATTAGGAGTTTGTCAATTCTCGCATGACTGTTCAGGTATCGATGCATCTGTGGGTTTCTGTGGACATATCAATTTGTGGTCTGATGTATGCCTAACACAAAATAATCCAACTCATTTGCAACAAGCTGTGTGTACCTTCTCTATTTCCAATAAGTTGACCAGAAAGTACTTTACACTTATCACTAATACGTCTTACTCATGGACACAGATACCAAGTGAGTCAGATATTTCTTAATATTTCCATTTTCAACAACTGCTTGATTCTTCATTTACATTTCGACAGAATTCTTTGCAGTCAGACATAAAATTTCAATCTATGTTTTGAGCAGTACAATCATTAATTACCAAATATTCAATTACCTAACGACAGAAGCGAAGAAAATCTGAAATCTGATTTTCTCCACAGATTGTGCTGAATTTAGCGTTACTGACTCTCGATTTTGTAGCAGTGGCTGTGTAACATATTTTGATGTGACGAAGAAAAATGGAGACTAGCTTTCCGAATTTTTCGGCTTTCATTATCTCGAATACATTTTTCAACTTGGAGTATGTATTTATGAGTGAGTGCGAAGAGGATATCCAAGCCCATATTCAAATATCTTTCGTATGTTGCATCAGAAAGATTTCTATTGGATTTAAGAAGTCTGCAGAGCTATTTCTTGTATACATTAAGAATAAAAACTAAGTTTTGGTATATGAATTTCAGGAATTAATTGACAAATAGAGAATTTAGAATTGTGAGAATATGAACATTGACTACTTATTCAAGTCCTAGAAATGAACTCGATAGACTTCTCAAGTCCAAGGCAATATGAGAGATAACTTCAATGGTGTTGAACGCGAAAAAATGAGTGGTACTATGGAAAAGCATCTGATCAATCTATCAGACTTTTGATGACTCTATTCATTTGTCAGGATCTCTTGTTTGCTCTTATAATTCAAACGCACTAAAGCATTGCTATAACGTTATAATAAGGTATTGTAGTTTGAAGTAGAACCTGAAATGTTGGAACAGGCTTTAAATTGAGACAACATAAGACGACCCATCATTGGTAGAAGTGTCAGGAGACTAGAACAAAATAATAGTTATGTATTGAATAGATTCCTTTGGTTAGTTGTTGGAAGTATTTCGAATATGATTGCCACTATTTTCGATTTTCAAGCTGATTTGTGTCGTCTCCTCTCAATAAATCTTGAGAAATTTCAGAAGTTCAATTGATTCATTCACGAAACAATGTTCATTCCTCGATTTTGTTTTTGCTTGATGACATTTAGAAACAACTTCGACCACTCCAGCCATTTCCGTAGCTGCTCAGACAATGAATGAAGATTCTATCATCACCAAAGGACCATGTATTTGGCGCTGTAATCGTGGCATCCCAATTCGTCGTCAAGTGGGCACTAGCAATGATTCACAACTAGTATGTCTTTGTCCGCCAGCTTACTATGGAGACCGATGTCAATATCAAAATCAACGTGTCAGTCTTACCGTACAAATACAGGTGTCGTTCGAATGGCGAACGGTATTCGCCCTTTTTATTAGCTTACGTGACAATGAACATGATTTCATAGAATCACATGATCAAATTCAATATGTGCCTGCTCGTGATTGCAAAAAAAAGTTTAACATTTATCTTCTGTACAAATCTCGACCTAAAACGATGTCAGCAAATTATAGTGTACGTTTCGATATTTACAATAAACAAACATTAGAGTTTCGTGCTACTTGGCTATTTTCTATTCGTTTTCCATTTTTGCCAGTACATCGAATGGCTTTTCAACTGCATGTTCCACTGGAAAGAACCAATGTAGACCAATGTGAAACTCTTCAATGTGGAATGCATGGTCATTGTTCACGTTACGTGAATACCAACGTCTCATTCTGTCACTGTGATCAAGGTTGGTCGGGTAGACACTGTAATATTCAACACAAGTGTGATTGTGCGTCAGGCTCCATTTGTCTACATTCATCTGCATGTTTGTGTCCATTGGAAAAGTTCGGACCTCGATGCTATGCAAAACAACACAAATGCTCGTGTAAGAACGGCAGCATTTGTGTACCGAATGATGAACGTTTGATCGATCGTAAAGGGTTCTTCTGTATTTGCGAAGAGGGCTTTTCAGGGCCTACCTGTGAAACGGTCAGCACAAAAATTGAAGTATCTTTTGCACAAAAAGTGTCTATACCATTATTCATACTAGTACACTTCATTCAGGCATTCGGAAAAGAGGCACCTCACAAAGAAGAAACTATTTTCAAGCAGATGCAACTCGATGAAGATACAGTAACATTATATAAAGAAGGCCCATTTCATATTGTCTTTATTGAAATCGAACCAAAAACATACTATCTCAGTTACCTGCAATCTGAGTACTTGCCACTGACTTCGATTACATGGACTGTCTCGCCCTCGAATCGTTGTCCGCCGATTAATGAACTTTTCAATCAAAGCTTTGTTGCGATGCATCTTCTTCGTCGAATGAAATACTATCATGTTCCTTGCCGAGAAAATATCAATCTTGCCTGTTTCTATGATGAAAGACACATGTGTATTTGTGATAATAACTATCATCGATCGAACTGTCTCGAGTTCAACCATAATTGGACCTTCAACTGTCCAGAACGAAAGGTATGCAAGAACGAAGGTGAATGTTTTCTCGATGTTTCTAAATGCCCAACTTCATCTGTGTGCGTCTGTAAACCATGCTCATATGGGCCACAATGTCAATTTTTAAGCACAAAGTTTGATCTTTCACTTGATGCCATTCTTGGCTATCAGATTCGACCTAGGAGACCATTCTCACAGCAACGTTTTGCCATCAAAATGACTATTGGAATCGTTGCTTTCGCGGTAGGATGTGGCCTTGTGAGTGCCATCATATCCATTATAATATTTCAAACGAAAAAGGCACGAGCTGTCGGCTGTGGCTACTACCTTTTGGCATCATCATGTGTCTCACTTTTTCTTATGATCACATTCGCAGTCAAAGTAGCTCTTACTATCACTACACACATGGCTCTGCTAAGCAATCGTGCATTTCTCTCTTTCAACTGCGTGTCGATTGACTTTCTCATCAAAATTCTTTTGAATTATTGTGATTGGCTCAATGCTTGTGTTGGCATTGAACGACTTGTTACTGTCATCAAGGATACCACATTTGATCGAAACAGATCTAAGCGTATCGCTAAACGGATGATTGTTTGTATTTTTCTATTGATCATCGCAACACATCTGCAAGATCCCATCCATCGGCGCTTGGTCAATGATGAAAAAGAATATCGAAAATGGTGTGTCGTCCAGTACAATCCGTCTCTAAAGGCTTACAATTTAGCTATATTACTTATTCATTTTATTGGTCCCTTTACAGCCAACATAATTTCAGCTCTCATCATCATCATCAAAATCGCTCGGCATCGAGCCACTGCCCAAAAAAAACAAACTTTCAACCAACATCTTCGCACTCAGATTGCTGAATTGAAGCATCTATTGATCAGTCCAATTGTTCTCATTGGTTTAGGTTTGCCTCGACTAATCTTTTCCTTTTTATCCGACTGCATGAAGTCACCAAGAGATCCCTGGTTATTTCTTATCAGTTATTGTATTTCGTTTATTCCACATATATTGATTTTCCCTATTTTTGTGCTCCCTTCAGATACCTACACGAATGAACTGAAAACTATACTGCAACACATACGCAGTGTAGTATGCCAGCACTAATGACATATTCAGCTTGCTTCGCTTAATATTATCGCTGTTTTACAATAAAGATATCAGAAAATCTATGTGGCAATATCTATGAAATAGAATGTTGTGTCAATCAAAAATTCAGATGTATTAGTAAGTAAAAATCGACCAAAATCATTCATTCTCCAAATTCCACTGAGAAACTTC